GGGGGAACCCCAGGAAGGTGTTCACACTGAGTGTGAGCCATGGGGGAATCCTGGGAAGGTGTTCACACTGAGTGTGTGCCATGGGGGAATCCCGGGAAGGTGTTCACACTGAGTGTGAGCCATGGGGGAATCCCAGGAAGGTGTTCACACTGAGTGTGAGCCATGGGGGAATCCCAGGAAGGTGTTCACACTGAGTGTGAGCCATGGGGGAATCCTGGGAAGGTGTTCACACTGAGTGTGAGCCATGGGGGAATCCTGGGAAGGTGTTCACACTGAGTGTGAGCCACGGGGGAATCCCAGGAAGGTGTTCACACTGAGTGTGCACCATGGGGGAATCCCGGGAAGGTGTTCACACTGAGTGTGCACCATGGGGGAATCCCGGGAAGGTGTTCACACTGAGTGTGAGCCACGGGGGAATCCCAGGAAGGTGCTCACACTGTGTGCTAGCCGGTGCCAGCTGCCCTTTCCCACCACGCGGCTTCCTGTAACAGCCGCTGTGCCCAAAGAAGATCATCCTTCCAATACTTTCCATCACAGTCCTGTCTATCCTTCCTGTCACTTTGTCATGATTATTCCTTGCATCTCGATGGATGTCTTTCTAGGTTTTCCCTCAGGTAGTGTCCGTTAGAAAAATGATAATAGAAACAAATATATTTCCCCCCTACATCTTTCTTTTGCTTTCCAGGTTTCCCACATCAAAACACCCAAGCAAATGGATGAATTCATCGAGATCCAAAGTTCAACAGGAACTTGGTACCAGCGCTGGCTGGTCAGGTTCACCACCACGTTCAAGCAGGTACAGTTGGGGGTGGGGGGACGTGTGTCCAGTGGAAGCTGGCGTGGTTGGCGTGGGAAGGCTTAGTGGGTGAGAACAGAGACCACAGCTGTTAAGGCAGCGCGATTGCCATGCAGAGGACACAGCTCTGGTTCGGGATGGTCGCTTCCAGCCCATGTGTGTCTCCAACTGGCCATATTGTCCCTGGCGGGGGCAAACTCTCAAACCTCTGTATCTTTTCTTTGCTCTGCTTTTTTCCAAGGCTGGGGTTTGACTAGTCTGAGTCAATACCCCTCTCTCTAGAAATGTCCATTTAATCCACAGGAAAAGAAAAGAGAGAGTGAAACCCATGGCTCTCGGAGGGAGCGTTAAGAGACCCGAGGGTGATTTTTTTTTTTCCTTGTCGGTGGTGAGGCCTGAACTCTGGGTCTGCACGCTGTCCCTCAGCTCTTCGGCTCAAGGCGAGTGCTCTACCACTTGAGCCACAGCACCACTTCTGGTTTGCTGCTGGTCTCCAACCATTGGAGATAAGAGTCTCATGGACTTTCCTGCCCGGGCTGGCTTTGAACTGCGATCCTCAGATCTCAGCCTCCTGAGTAGTTAGGCTGACAGGCGTGAGCCACCGGCTCCTGGAGGGTGATTCTTTTCTAGGGGAAAATGCCTTTTCTCCAGGGAGCTGGAACCTGAAGGCAGGGAATAAGTGAGCTGCTGAGAGTTGGGGTAGCTGAGCAGCTACCTGTCTAGGGAGACCCCATGGGGCTCAGGGCGGATGGACAGTAAACATTTAGATTCTCACCCATGCCCACAGTTAAGGAGCAGAGCTCATGGCTCTCCGCAAGGGCGCTTTCAGTCACATCATTGTATGCGCTCTCCGGAGAGCGGCCAGCGAGGGAGATGAATTCCCTTGGTCATGGGTCAGAGCTGCCCGCGTCAGGGAGAAACGCAGGGGTCTGTGCCCTAAGCTTGTTGGGGACGAGACGAGCTCTTCCTCCAACCTCTCTTCTCTGATCCGTGCCGCAGGTCTGGGATAACGCGCTGTACTGCGTGCTGGGCCCCTTCAGAATGAACACCCTCATCCTGGCCGTGGTCTGGTTCACCTTGGCGTTAAGGTAAAGTTCTGCCCAACTCGGGCGCCCGCATCGTGGTCTCCTGGACTCATTGAGGGTCACCACCAAGTGTCAGCACCTGGAGTGCTGGCCTTCTAGATTCAGATGGAGACATTGCCAGGGAAACCTGGCCCTGCCCAACTAGGAGAGAATGTTTGTTTGTTTTCAAAGCCAACGACGCTGGATGATGACAGGTTTGGTTTTGTTTTAAAGAAAAACATCTTATTTCTATTTATTCGTGGGTAACTTCATTTCCTGGCCTAGGTGATGGATTGCAATGTTGGAGCAACAATCCGCCTTGTACCCTCCACCTCCCTCCCCCACTTCCTTCTGCCTCCTGCATGTAATCGTTGTGGATTTCCTATGCGTCCTTCCAGCGATGTGCAAGCAAATAATTATATTTGCTTATTTATTTCTTCCTCCTTTTCTTATTCAAAGGAACATACTTTGCATTTGCTTTTTGTATTCTATGACATAGTCTGGAGCCGTGTGTGGACTAATACAGGGATTCCTTCCTTCCTTCCTTTTCTTTCTTTTCTTCTTTTTTTTTTTTTGTTGATTGTGGGATTTGAACTCAGGGTCTGGGTACTATCCCTGAGCTCTTTTGGCTCAAGGCTGGTGCTCTACCACTTAGAGCCACAGCGCCACTTGCAGATTTTGGTGGTTAAGTGGAGATAAGAGTCTCACAGACTTCTCTGCCTGGGCTGGCTTTGAACTGTGATCCTCAGATCTCAGCCTCTTGAGTAGCTGGGATGACAGGTGTGAGCCACCAGCGCCCAGCCCCCTCAGGGTTTTCTTTATTCTTCTTTATGGCTACTGCCTAGCAACCTATAGTAAAATATCACAGGGCCTTATTATATGCCAGGGCCTTGTCACCAGAATGCAGGAAGTTTCCACAATGAGGAACCCTGTTTGTAGGCCACTTTGTATTGGGGCAGGCTCATCAATGGATCAGTTCCCAGAAGAGTTAACGATCTGGAAGATTAGGAAATTGAGGGAAAGCACTTGTCAAGCTACAGTCTCACCAAGAGAGAAGACTTTGAGGTTTGGACAGGTTCATCGCTGAGAAGAAGGGAACAATACGGTTTTAAGTTGTAGTTTTCTTATTATCGGTAGGATTGAACATATTTTTTTCCAGGCATAAAATAGTATCATTTGCTAACAGAAATAGTTTTGCTTTATGATTTTGCATTCACACATATATAGGATATATAGATAGATTATACATATGCTTATATATATTCTTATATATGCGTGCGCGCGCGCACACACACACACACACACACACACCATTTTTTCTCTTATTTAACCAGTTGGCTAAGATCTACAGCAGGCAGGCAAATAGCCATAGTTTTAGTAGTACCACTGGGTGTCTTGTCTTGTCCCTAGCATCATATTTCCTTATTCATTAAGCTTCTAGCTTTTGAGCAGAGCTATCTCATTTTTTTCCTATGTGTTAAGAAAGTGTCTATGAGCCCATAATCTATTAGAGTTTTTTTTTCTTTTTAATCAGAAATGAATTTCGTAATGCTTTCCTAGCCTCTGTGGAGCCAGTCATGATTTTGTCCTTACGCCTATGAATTTGCCGAGTTCTGTCTGGCTAGATTTTCTGATCACAGACGGAGGCACAGCACTGACACAGCACTGACAGCAAGCCGGGTGCTCCCCCCCCCCTGCCTCCCGCTCAGCTCAGACACAGCACTGACAGCAAGCCGGGTGCTCCCCCCCCCCCCGCCTCCCGCTCAGCTCAGACGCTCTGTCCTTCCTGCTGCAGTTACTACGGGCTGACCGTCTGGTTTCCCGACATGATCCGCTACTTTCAAGATGAAGAATACAAGTCGAAGATGAAGGTGTTTTTCGGGGAGCACGTGTACGGCGCCACGATCAACTTCACCATGGAAAACCAGATCCACCAGCACGGGAAGCTGGTGAACGACAAGTAAGCGTGCACGCGCACATTCCCCCAGCCACCTTCCTGCCCCTCACCACCCCGGCTTCATCCAAGGAGGGTGCAGCCATTCCCCCGAGGACTGTCACCCTGGCCATGTGTCCCCAGAACCTGGTCACTGCGCGGGCAGGATCACAAGGCCATCCATGCCCATGCCCCCCCCCCCGCCATATTCAAGAAGCTGCTATTCCCTTCTAGAAGTGAAGACAGCAAGCTCACCGGCTTGCGAGGTGTGCGTGCATGTGTGCGTGCATGTGTGCGTGTGCATGTGTGTATGCGTGCATGCACAGGCTACTCAGGGGAACCAGAAACTAGCAGCCAACAGCTCTCACTGCTGACAGAAATAACCCATGGCCTGCCTGTCGAGCTACACTGCTTTGATTCTGGAAGGTTCCCCCTGCTGGGGATGCCACTGCCCTGGCCTCTCACCTGGAACGATCTCGTAGGGTTGATCGCTGCTCTGTGGTCGTCCAGGGCTGTGCGGGGAGCACACTGGCTGGCCTAGTGTTAGGAGGGAAGTCCCTCTCCATGTCCTCCCTCCGTCTGAGCCGCAGCTCAGTGGAGATGTCACTCTGAGGTGCATCAGCTGCTGACGCTGAGCAGCTCAGAGTCTTCCGGAATGTGTTGCGCAGGCCCGCTGGGCTGTGACTGAGGAGTGGGAAGACTGTCACGAGTCACGGGCTGGTGGCGGGAACACCGGCCCCTGAATCCCACGTCCGTGACACCAGCCACTCCGCATGTGCCCACCCCTCCCCCGGCCGCACCCACCCGCTGTCTGGCGTGGGTCAGGTCTGAGGAGGCCCCGGCCCCACGCGGCTTGTACCGATCTCAGCAGGTATGAAGGGTCGCTGTGGTATGAGCCGAGAATGTGCGGACCCAAAGGGAGAATGTTCTCTCGACAAAGATGAGGCCATTGGAGAAGGCTTATGTTCTGGATCTTTTGTCTTGGAGAGGAACGTGTAGGACTCAGGATAGTTAATTAAAAATGGTGCTCAAAATTTCCAGCTAGCCTTTTGGTTTTGTTTTGTTTTTTGTTGGTTATTGGGCTTGAACTCAGGGCCTGAGTGCTGTTTTTGAGCTGCTTCTGCTCAAGGCTAGCGCTCCACCACTTTGAGCCACAGCTCCATTTCTGGTTTTTCTGGTGGTTCACTGGAGAAAAGAATCTCATGGACTTTCCTGCTTGGGCTGGCTTTGAACCGCGATCCTCAGATCTCAGCCTCCTGAGTAGCTAGGATGACAGGTGTGAGCCACCAGTGCCTCACTTCAGATAAGTTTTTTTTTTAAGATGCTGAAGTTCAATGTCAAATATCTGCCCCCCCCCCCCATGTCCAGAAGTCCACACACACTGCGTAGACAGGGCCGAGTTCCTGTAATCTACCTAGAGTGGCCGCTGTGGAGACACAAACCCAAGGCTGGAGGGAGTGGACGGCAGCTTCCCCCAGGTGCTCTGTCCTCTGAGCACTTTAAAAAGATTTTCCCCCGCAGACTGTACAGGTGATGATCAGAGGGGTTACAGTCACAGAAGGCAGGCAAGGAGGGCATAGCTCTTTGGACAGTGAGTGCTCTGAGCACTCTCCCATGAGTCAGAAACAGCGCTCTGAGTATACCAAAGCGAAAATGCTGCCCTTGCTCTAAGAACAGACTTTGGAGACATAGGGATGTGCAGATAGCTAGACGTCCGTCTGGTATGGGGAGAGAGAGAGAGAGACAGACAGACAGACAGAGACAGAGACACAGAGAGACAGACAGAGACAAAGACAGACACAGAGAGACAGACATAGAGACAGACAGAGATGCAAAGAGGCAGAGAGACAGAAAGAAAGAGAGAGAGAGAGAGAGAGAGAGAAGGAAGGAGGGGAGGGGGAGGGGGAGGGGGAGGGGGAGAGAGAGAGGAGTCCCCTCTACCAGACTCCCAAGGTTCAGCCAGGCTCTGTTGTGACATGAAGGAAATAATAATGGCAATGACAGTGACAATAATTCTAATAACAAATCACAAGCAGGGCCGTGCGCCGCTTGATCTGCCTGAGAGGAACCATTGACACTGATTTCAAAAAACAACAAAACAACAAAACTCCGTCAAAACACAGAATGCTGTTTCTTTTCTTGAGCTGCGCCGCCATCTGCTGGCGGAGAGGGAGATTGCACCGCCTCATCTTGGCAAACCCCCCTGAGCCTGACGGGGGGAAAGGGGTTTCATTAGAAAGTTATGCTCTGGAATCTGTCGTCTTAGGGTTCTTGGTCTCGCCTTTCTGACTTTTTGTTTCCACTCTGGGTTCAAATCTCCTTTCTTAAAAACTGTGTCGGATGACTCACCCAGGGATATGCGGTCCGTCCCACAGGTTCACGAAGATGTACTTTAAACACGTCCTCTTTGAGGACACGTATTTTGACAAGTGTTATTTCGAAGACGTCACCTCGACGGATACCTATTTCAAGAACTGCACCATCGAATCCACCTTCTTTTATAACACAGGTGAGAACATGCGCACCTCGAGGAGCACATGACCGGGGTGGGTGTGACCAGGATGTAGCTAGGAGCTGCGGGAAGAGAAGGTATTGGTAGACACCGGTGCTGAGCCTTCGGGAGGAGAAATGGATTTTAGCCTCAGAGTTAGCTTACATTAGGTGCACAGAATTCACCAAGGAACTTAGTTGATCTGCCTCTCGATTGCTTGTTTTGTGGTTGGTCAAGTGGGGCTTGAACTTAGGGCCTGGGCGCTGTTCCTGAGCTCTTCACTCAAGGCCAGCCTTCTAACATCTTAAGCCCACAGTGTCACTTCCGGTTTTCTGGTGGTTCATTGGAGATAAGAGTCTCACGGACTTCCCTGCCCAGGCTGGCTTCAACTTGTGATCCTCCAATCTCAGCCTCCTGAGTAGCCAGGATGACAGGCGTGAGCTACCAGTGCCCCGCTGCCCCTCAGTTTCGATCATATATAAAACAGAAGCAAAAGTTCAGGTTAAATCTCCCGTGACTCTGGACTCCATGTCCGTCTTATGGGTTCCAAAGCCAAGGAGCCTCGCGCTGAGTGAGCTGGCCGCGATATCCTTTGTGTCACCCAGAGGGTTCAAATACCACCCGGGACTTAGCAATGACCCTCAAGTTAACGGGAGGCTCACTCTTCCCTAGGGTGGGGATGTGGCAGGTTGTTATCCTTCTGGAGGTATCTCAGTCATCCACTGTTGGCCACGTGTCACTCTGGTCTGTGATGGCCAGCCTGCAGGACTTCCTTCCGGCCCTCCTCTCCCCCCCAACTCCCACCAACCAAAGGTTTCCCTCCTGCTCTCCGCAGACCTCTACAAGCACAAGTTCATCGACTGCCGCTTCATCAACACCACCTTCCTGGAGCAGAAGGAGGGCTGCCACATGGACTTCGAGGAAGACAACGACTTCCTGATTTACCTCGTCAGCTTCCTGGGCAGTCTGTCCGTGTTGCCTGGGAACATCATTTCTGCCCTGCTCATGGACAGAGTCGGGAGGCTGAAGATGATGGGTGAGCCGCCAGAGGTGTCACCTGGGCCGCCCCTCCCCGCTGCCCCCCACGGCACTTCAGGCTTACCTCTGTGGGGAGATGGGCCAGTCCCCGGGGGGTGACAGACTTGCTCAAGACCCCCACTTCATACTTCATTCCTTCTGCAGGGGGGTCCATGCTGATCTCTGCCGTCTGCTGCTTCTTCCTGTTTTTCGGCAACAGCGAGTCTGCGATGATCGGCTGGCAATGTCTGTTCTGTGGCACCAGCATCGCAGCCTGGAATGCCCTGGGTGTGATCACAGTGGAGCTGTACCCCACCAACCAGAGGTCAGTTCTTCCCCGGGGGAGAGGGGGTTCCCCTCCAGGACCTGTGTGGGTGGACGTCTGTCTACCACTAAGTCCCACACCATGGGCGGCCATCTTCGTCCCAGGTGGTCCATGCACCAAACAGCCCTGGGATAGTTGTTGGGTTTTTCAGCATGGGGACTGGTGGAGGCGTGGAGGCGGTGACCGAGGGCCTGAGAACATAGGGTGGGTGGTAAGGAACAAAAGCCAAGAGCAGATTACATCCAAGAGAGAAGGGAAAGAGAGAGAAGAGGGCTGTGTAATCAAGAGAGGCGAGAATACACCTGAGCTGGAATAACACAGGGAGCAAAGAGAAGTAAAGGTGGGAAGGAGGAATGAAAATCCAAGGTGCTTATAGAGCCTATGGCAGGGATGCCCAAAGTTTACCTTTGATATAGGCAAGCCATGTGGCAAAGGGCCTCGTTTATAGGCCTACAGTTCACACTGGGACTCAGTAGCTGTTTCTTCTCACCTAGCGGCATTGCGAAATTTAAGGATGACCATGGTGGACCTGTGGTCAAAAAGGTGAAATAGTGTGGGATATGTGTAAATGGAATTCTGAAAAACACACTAACGATATAACCCCACATTAGCGACAGAGGTAGCAGGACTTGGGGAGCTATGGAAAATTATGCCACCCATCTTTTTTTTTCCAAAAAAAACTAGTAAGGGGAGGGAAGATGATCAATGATCATTATTTGGCTAGAATGACACCTAGGAAACTCATGAGAGTGAGCTAAAGGGACAAGTAGAAGGTTGTCACTAAGGAACCAACTTAATGACATATGTGTTTGTATATATGTAAGAGAAAAAAAGTTAAAAAGGCCACTAAAGTCCATCTGATGATAACATCCTTCGGAATCTGTGTGAAACACCCACATGACGAAAACCAGGAATCTATGAAGACAGCAACGATTTCAGTTTATGTCATGATGCCTCTCGTTTTGACAAGCTTTGATTTTTTTCCCCTAACATACATGAGTACATCTTCCCTCTAGGAGTTTGGGGAAAGAAATTATTCCTGAACTGTGTGTTTGGAAAAACATGCATGTGAAGAAATACCCAAGAGAGTATTACACACAAAAATACTAGGTTCCGGGTTACAAAGCTATGGAGTGGCTCAGCTGTAAATAGCAAAGCAAAGAGTGCAGAAATAGGCTGAGACTCTTGGCCTTTGGCAAGAATTAGTTGAGAAGGGGGTGGTGCTGGAAATACTGTCCTGGTATTATAGATGAGGTCTGATGGCAGGCTAAGGGTTAATATGTTTGACAGACAGTAACCTGGAGAGAAACCCCAAATAATATCCCCTAGGATGAGAGCCATCTTTTTTCCAGAGATTAAGCCAAACAAAAATGAACAATAACTAAATAAGGAGATTAAAGACTAGAGAGCTGAAGGCCACTCAGCATGTCTCTTAGAATGCCTCTTCCTCAGTAGTTGCACTTACCTTCCATCTCATTGGTCGAGAAGAAGTCACTTGGCCGGCAGCAGCAAGGAGGGGGCCTGGGAAATGTAGTCTTCACATGCGGAGAAGTGGCCTATAGGGATAGTTTGCTTCCACTAGAGGGTGCTATGGAGCGGGGATACCTACACATCTCTGCTGGAGCACTACCTTTAAACCGTTTAAGAAGAGATGAATTAGAAAAGATTGTTTGTTTTTAAAGCCTGAGGGCAATTCTCCAAAATGTTGATAGCAGCGGCAGCTTTAGATCTCTTTCCATCTTCACTTTATTCCGTATTTCTAATTTTTACTAAAGCAAGAATGTGTTGCTTTCATATTTTGGGGGAGGGGGGAAATCCTCCTTCCCAGATCTCTCTGTCTCTCGCAACCAGGAAAGCCTCCTGTCTTCTTCAGCTAACGAGGTGCAAGGGTTGGAGGCTCTGATTCCGCCCCTCTCCTTTTGCAGGGCAACAGCCTTCGGTATCCTCAACGGATTGTGCAAGTTCGGCGCCATCCTGGGAAACACCATCTTCGCTTCGTTCGTGGGGATCACCAAGGTGGTCCCCATCCTCCTCGCTGCTGCTTCTCTGGTTGGGGGTGGCCTGATTGCCCTCCGCCTGCCAGAGACTCGAGAGCAAGTCCTGATGTGAACCAGCGGTGGGGAAGAAGATAAGGAGAGAAACTCGGGCCCGGACATGTCAATACAGCCATACTTCCCGCCTGCCACTGTCCACGGTGACACCTCAGCTGGCACAGGCGGAGAGGTGGTTGACTTTGTGATCTCTACTTTAGGACCCACTTCAGCTGTCCATAACGTTTGTAACTCAGGTGACTGATTTGGGGGTGGCCCCCAAGTCACCCCTTAGAAATCCCAGATCTTTGTGCTTAGCCTCCATCCTCCTCGGCCTAAGGCGGGAAGAGAACTCCCACACCAGGATACACACCACCCAGGGAGCCTGCGTGTCTCCTTCAGTGAGAGGGAAAGGACTCATGAAGTTCAGGGGGATCCCAGTGACCTGAGGATTCCTCCACTCGGTGGGAAAGTCCAGTCATCACGTGGCTGTTGAAGAACAGGACACATATGTTTTTTACATTTTAAACATCATTGTCCTCTCTCCCATTGAGATTTGCCATAATCGGATTGAAGAGAGTCGGATAGAGAAAACGAAATAAGCGAGATCTTTAGAGACCAACTTCCCTCCCCCCCACCCCCGCCCCAAAGTCTTCAACTGTCCTTGATACCATGGTACATTTAAGAATCACATTTATCCCTGTTTTGCTCTAGGCTAAGAAACTCAGTGGGGTAGGCAGTCTGTAAACCAAGTTTGTATATAAGTATCTTCCGTTTTCTTTGCACAAATGGTAGCTGCAAGTATTTGCCAGCATTTTAGCCATATTTGGGGGAGAACCTGGTATTCAAGGTTCTGAACTATCGGATCCAGGAAAAGCAAGCAAAATTTCTTATAGCCATTGGAGTCGCTGCGGGCAGGATTCACCTTGCAAACTCCCTCTGTGTCTGTGCGCATGCGTGCGCAGTCTCTTTTAATCCAGGTACTTTTCTCCCAGTGAGCAGAGGCGTTTAGCACACAGGTCATTAGGGAAGCTCACGTGGATGGGACCACTTACGGCACGTGACTCTGCTTTTCACCTAGAAACACTTGCAAGAAGCATCCCGTGTCTCTGGCGTTCTCTTTGTAGGTGAGGAGGAAACAAGAGGGGGAGTTGGGGCGTGGGATGGGGTCACACTGGCCACAGTTCTTCCAAGTGTGGATTCTAGCAGCGAAACACGGTGCACGTGTGTCCTGCTGCCCAGGAGGTGTCGAGGTGACGCACGTGTTCTGGCTCAGGGCCTTTGGAACATAAGCCATTGAACGGGGACTGATGGAATAGAACAGATCGAACAGATTTTTTTTTCTTTAGTGCTCACAAAGTTCTTTCCTGAGATCCAATGTGGTGCAGGGACAGGGCGGTGGATGGAAGGTTAGAGAGCAGACCCAGGATAAACTTCTTTGCAAGGGTCAGCAAGAGACAGAAGACTGGAACCCAGGGAAAAGGAGCTTTTATCCATCAGAGCTGTCTGGCCATGGAAGGCCAGAGGCTAGGTGTTTCTGTCTGGGGTGGTGGTGGTGGTGGTGGTGGGGATAGGGGGCAGTGAACTTGCCCAGAGCAGGATCACAAGTACTAGCTCACGACATCATGCACAACACACCCTAGAACTCAAAGCGCTACATTTCCCTGTCAGAACTCTCCAGAAGCTGAAAAACAGAATAAGAATGACCACCTCGAGGGTTTTGTTGGTTCTGGGGAGATCCTGAGGTCTGGCAATAGTTCAAGTTATCTTTCTGTAATTCTCTGCACTAATAAAACAGGTCAGCAGGGGGAAAGAATACATCTTAGAACACCTTCGCCCTCCCTCAATCCGAGATCAACTTTCAGGGTTAAAATGCAAGATGAGTTTTACTAGTTAGACATGTTTACTCTGCTTCCTTTGTGCCCTTTTCTTTATTCGGGGCTGTCTTTTTGTACTGTGCAGGAACGAAATACATATAAGCTCCGATTGATACCCTGACTCCCACAAATAGAAATCTTATATATACATATATAAATATACCAGTGTGTATTAACGTTTCTCAGTGTTTTATAGCCATTAACGGACATAAGGCCACATCCGTAGCGGCAGCCAGTATAACATAGCTGTAATATACTTTGTCCGTATTCTTGTGATGTGAAAGGCAGAGTCTATGATCACAGGAGACAGCTGATCAATGCCTGGCCCCCTGATTATTCAGCGGGATAGTTCAGCTTCCCAGGCAGCTATCAGGCCAGGAATTAGCAAGATGGTGTCTGCGTGGGTCGTTAGAAGGATCTTGCAGACTTAAAGTCTAATGTTCTTTTTCTTTTTGAGCGCAGGAGTGGCTGTAATGACCTGCGGGTTAATGCCACTTAGTTTTGGAGCTCTGACTTCTGCATTGCCTTTCTGGTTTAAGTATATTTAAGTATTTCTCAGGACCTGAGACTTGACCGCTGGTACCCGACCCCCTCTCCGATGCTGTCACTCCTAGCTCAATCCCCATCTCCGTGGCAGGTGGTTGGGGGTCGATCTACAGCGTTCCTGCTGTCCCTTTTTCCCTTTTCTTTCCCGTTTCCTCCTGAGAAATTCCCAGTGGCATCCGTGGGGGCAGGGGGCGGGTGACACAGGGGTCCAGCCCCCCACCATGGAGTGAGTCTGGCTGTCTTGGGCATGTTAGGACCGAGCCAGAGAGGAGATCCTTCCAACACGCTCCCCTCGGCGGAGTCATCTGTGCCGATTTCTCATCTACTCGTTTTATTAAAAAAATAATAGTGACAGAGGCGTGCCCGTTTGTGAAGTTTGTCACACATCCACTTGAGGACCGGACCTCTTGTGCACCACGGGACTTGATGATGAAAAGATAAAGAATGCAAAATATAACTGTCAGCAGACACCCCAGGGAAGGGGGCTGGGCATGATTTCTCAGGCACCCCGGGTCTCTTCCCCACTTCTGTATGGTTTCCTTCACCCTTCTTATTTTGGGTATGGCAGCTTGGAGTGGGGCCGGGAGGGGCAGCAGGGTGGGGTGCAGCTGACTTTCTCTGTTTTCTGGATCGAGCCTCTGGTTCAACCCAGAGCAGGCCACAGAAGCCTCCGGAAAGTCTCTGTGCAGTGAGTAAAACTCACCAACACACCTCTTGCCTTCTCTGAGCATGCGCTCAACGTAAACTGGTGAACTAGAAACATTCACCTAAGTCACAGCAGCTGTGTGAAGCTCTGGGCCAGGGCCTCTGGAGCCCCACTCTGTGTGTGTGTGTGTAGAATCAGGGAAGGGGAAATGGGGAAGAGGGGCCTAATCTCAGCCCCTAAGGGGCTGAGGGTGGAAGGTTTTGCTCCATGCTGGGGAAGTCTGGAAGTTCCAGTGTGAATTTCCTGGAAAGAAGCCTTGGAGAGCCACAGAGCGTCAACCCCAGGGCAGGAGTTTATTCCAGTGGTGTCTTCTCCATCACCCACTCAGCCCTTCTGAGGGATGTATGCAGCCCGCTGGGGAAATGAAGAGGGGTACAGGTTGGTACCAGGCACGAGCAGTGCATTATTCCAGCATCAACACCAGGGGGCGGTAGCTGCTCCCAAGTCAATTCTGCTGGCCTCTGTGGAGTAAGACTGCTTTTAGGAAACGTCTACTTGTGTGGTGTTGCGCTGTGCATTGTTTTAGAGTGTGATTCTGCATGTTCAGATGATTCTAGATGTCTCCGGAGGGCCCGAGGTTTCCTTCAGGTCTGAAGTGAGAAGTCTTTTAGTTTGGTTTGGTTTTTGTTTGGGTGCCAGTCCTGGGGTTTGAACTCAGGGCCTGGGTGCTCTCCCTGGACTTTTTCTGCTCACTTGAGCCATGACTCTACTTTTTGGTGGTTACTTGGAGATAAGAATCTCCTGGAGTTTCCTGCCAGGGCTGGCTTCAAAATCTCCATCCTCAGATCTCAGCCTCCTGAGTAGTTAGGAGATAACCTCATGAGGTTTTGCTGATGACTTTGTATGTGGGTGGGTGAGGGGTGGTGATTGTAGATTCAGCCACCCTATATTAAATACCCGTGTGAAAATGTTCTGCACCGTCTTAATGGATATCAGGCCGATTTAACCATCACTTCACCATTAGAGGTTGCTGGTTAACAACTTCCTAGGGACAAAACTTCTGAGTGTACCCAAGGAAAATTGAGTGAGTGACGCGTTGTAAAACGAGAATGTGGAGGCAAAGCTCCGTGAGAGAGGGGGCTACATGCGGCTGCGGACTCTGAAGACAGTGCTCCTAATGGTAGTAGAAATGACGCAGGGTGGGGGTGAAGTAACATACACATGTGGAATCAGACAGGCAGAGGAGCATGGGGCAGACACACAGACCTGTTGCAAACCTTGTGGGCTTCCAGAAAGTACCAGGACAACAACTTTTACTGGGAGCAAAAGTGCCATGAAGATGTTTCCTTACTGAACATGGTTCTGATTGTAATAGATTTCCTGAGAATTTCCTAGTCATCCATGAATGATGAAATTGGGTATATTGGATGCATTTTCTTTCTTTTAAAAATATTTTTATTATCTTTAGTTGTACAAAGGAATGGCCATTCAACAAAGCAGTTTGAGAAAAAAGCAGTTTATATTACAGTATTTTCAATATATAGTGTTTATCTTTTTGATGCAATCTTATTGTAAAGCCCAGGAACTCGTATTAACAGCTCAGAGAAAGTTCTAAGAAATAAGTAATTTGTGACCGAAATCATAGAAAATTTAAAAAAAAAAGCTCAAAGTTCAGTCCTAATCAGATGTCATATAAAAATGCTTGGAGGAAAAGGGAAAAAGAAATCTAGGGAGACTGGGCAAAAGGTAGTAGAAATTATATTGTTTCCATAATGGATGGGGATAAGGTTGTGTGGGGACTGAGTATAATGCTGGAAATACCAACAGGAGAGTTAAAAAAAAATCACCTATGCAAGCCCATCCCCATTGGCTCACACCTGTCATCCTAGCTACTCAGAAGGCTGAGATCTGAGGATCTCAGTTCAAAGCCAGCCCAGGCAGGAAAGCCCATGAGATTCTTGTCTCCAATTAACTGGCAAAAAGCTGGAAATGGAGCTGTGGCTAAAGTGATAGAATGCTAGCCTGGAGCAAAAAAGCTCAGGGACAGAGCCCAGGCCCTGGTTCAAGCCCCAGGACCAGCATACACACACACACACATACACACACACACACACACACACACACACACACGTCATGCTTTGATCATTATAAATTCACCTTTTTTCTCAGTGTTCCTCCTGTTAAAGAACTTCTACTTCATAATTCAGTTGAAGGAGTTTTCAGGAAGGAGGATAATAGACTACCAGCCATTTACATAATCTTGCTCATAAAAATCAATAATATATCGAGTTCTCAGATCTAATTTACACCAAATATAGTATTTCCCCCAGGGAAGTTGAGCTGGAAAGTGAGCTGGCAAAGAGGACACAGCAGAGAAAGAATGACTTAGATCATAGAGACAGAAAGAGACAGAAGGGAAGAAGAGCCAGGACTTGAAGCAGGGCCTGGTCAGAAGGGGACAGCAGGTGGCATGTATAGAAACAAGAGAGGCGTCAGGGGCTGGGAAGGTGGCTCAGTGGTAGAGTGCTCGCCTTGCATGCATGAGGCCCTGGGTTCTATTCCTCAGCACCAAATAAGCACAAAAAGCCAGAAGTGACGTTGTGGCTCAAGTGGTAGAGCACTTGCCTTGAGCTGAAAAGCTGAGGGACAGCGCCCAGGCCCAGAGTTCAGGCCCCACAACCGACAAAAAAAAAAAAGAAAGAAAAGCAGCAAGAGAGGGGTGACCATGAGGAATTCTAAGACTAAAGAGCGTGTGATTGGAGACCCTCCAATGTAGGAAATAGAAAACTGTGTAGCATGTAAGGCGAGGGGTCTGGGCAGGCACCAGGCCACCCAGGC